ATATCTTGGGCCTAGACGGACATATTTACAAGGGACGGATGGATACAAGGCTGCCAGGCATCCCAAACCGAGACAGTGAGTATCCAGGTGGCCCAGCCACCCCGCAGGCTCCTCACTCGGGTCCCAGAGGATCTGTCCCACTCCTGGAAGGCCAGACACTTCTTGGGGGCCACTGGACCCCGGCTGCCTTCTTCTCTACCTCCCTGACTCCAAACTTTCAGGCCTCCGGAAGCCCCAGGTCACTGCGCGCAGGCGGTGACAGTCCAGTAGCAGCCCCGTCTTCTCCCTCCAGCCTTCATCCTTGTGCTTCCACTGCTGGCTTTCCCGCCTCAGCCTCTGTCCCCAGCTCGCCACGCCCAAGTCCTACCCCCTCCTGAGGCCCTGAACACTCGGCAAATGTCCCGGTCCCCTGAAGCCCACTCCAGGCCGCCATCCCTTCAGCCTGCTGCTTCTCACTCCCCACCGGGCCCTCCAGCTATGTGTGCGCCTTTCCACTCTGAGCTGTAAACCCAGGGTCAGAACCCACCCAGCACGTGGCGCAGGGCTGATGTGGGGGTCCTCGGAGGACATCTGAGTGTGCGTGTATGTGGGGGTGTGGACAGACAGATGGACACATGAATGAATGGGGTGCTTATAAAGGGCACGTCAATGAATTCAGACTGAGAAGGCCCCCGGCTGAGGCTGGCCGTGACCAGCAGCCCTGCAGCCCTCTCCCCACCCCCGTGGGTCCCCACGGAGCCTTCACGTGGTGTCTCAGAGCCGACCCTGCTCTCCCCTTTCCCCGTCAGACTCAGGGGTCAGCAAGCACAAGGTCAAGCCACCCCGGTCCCACGCGCACCGGCAGCAGTCACTGGGCGACAGCAGCCAGCTGCCCTCACGGCCTCAGAGTGCTCAGATGCTGGCTGGCAACACCTCAGGTAGCTTCCCTCCGGGGGGAGTGTCCTCCTGGGTGGCCTCGGCACTGGCCCCTCTCCTCCTCGCCCCTTTCCTGCCTGTGGCTGGTATATGCCCCTGGAGAGAGGATGGGCCTGGGAGCTGGGGGATGGGACGGGAGGAAGAAGGAGAGGACACTCCTGGTCACTGAGTGCTGGACGTATTCCAGGTCTGTGGGATAGGTACTGTCACCATCCCCATTCTACAGAAGAGGAAGTAGGGGCAGGGCCACAGCCCGAGACCACCTCGGGCCCAGGTCCTTCCCCTGCTAACCGGACTGAGTGCTCACATACTCGCCCTGTGCCCCGAGAACCCCTCTGTCTGACCCCCAGGTCTGGAAGGTCCCCAGAGTCTCTGCTCTCCCCCGAGGGGCTAAATCCTGCCTGAAAGTTAGAGCGCTAAGGGCCTCCAGGGTTCGCCCCCACGTGGGGGCCAGAAAGGGACACTGGCCGGGGGCAGGCGGCCAGGTCACTTCTGAGTAACTCTAAGCAAGTCTCCCCCTCTCGGAGCCTCAGTTTCCTCATTGTCAGTAAAGGGGGAGCCGGGTCAGTGCTGCTTAGAGTCGGGGCCCCCATGAGAGTCTAATGAAACTGCCGACCTTCTTCCTGTAAAAAGCTGGTACCCACAGCCCTCTGCAGGCGCTTCCAGGGGGGTCAAGGGCCACCCCCAGCCCTGGCGCTCTTTGCCATCCCTTCCGGTTCCAGCACTCAGTGAGTGCCTGGAGGAGGCCATGGTGGTGGCCGTGGCCCCTAGCTGTCCCTGAGGGCTCCTCAGCAGCCACCGCTGCTGACATTTTACAAGTGGGAACCAACTTTAGTCCCCACACCACCGTTAGGTCGTAGGGACCCCTGTTGTCCTCACTCACAGCTGAGAAGTCTGAGGCACAGAGCGGGGAGGTGCTGCCCAAGGTCACACAGCTAGGGAGCCCCGTGGGGGACCCAGAGCCAGGCCGCGAGGCCGCAGAACTATGTCCTCGGAGGCACTCAGCTCCCTTCTCGCTGGCACCCCGCTGTCTGCTCCAGGGGCGCTTAAATGCCGTGGGAGCAGGAGAGGGGGTCTTAGGGGAGGTCCCCGCACTTATTCCGTGAACGTCGCCTAAATGGTCCCTGCGTCATCGAGGAAAGGTTACCAAAGGAGCAGCTCCTGGCCCCGACAGAGGGTTTGTGTGTTTTTCGCCAGATGATAAGGAGCTTTGCCAGGTGCTCCTCTGAGGACTTGCACGGTGCACCCCAGCCGCGGGGCGGGGCCCCTCACCAGCATTGCGTCCCCTGCTCCCTGCTCCGCCTGGCCGGCAGGGCTGCTCCGACTTCCCTGGGCTTTGGGCAAGCTGGGTGGGCCTGGGGAGCCCGGCAGAGCCATCTGACCCTGCCTATGACCCCTGACCCCTCTCGCAGCTCCTTCTCGTCAACGGACAGACAGGCCGGTCTCCTCCGAGGGGCGCCTCTCCCAGCCCAACGTGGCCCACCTGCCCAGCGCCAGCGAGATGGCAGCGGGGCTGGAGATGCCCATGGACGTGCCTCCTGGGGAGGGGCTCGAGGAGCCCACCCGGGGGCCTCGGTCCACCACGGCTCACTGAGCAGGGCTATAAATAAATGCTTAGGAAGCAGCTGGGCAGCGAGCTTTCTCTGGCCCTGGCTCAGGATGGCGCAGTGGGAGGGAGGGGCCTCTGCAGGCTGGGGGCCCTCCAGACCGTCCCCAGGTCCAGGGGACAGACCTTGTCTTGGAGAGGAGGTCTAGCTTGTAGCCTAAAAATGATTCCACGGTCTCCAAAACAGATCAAGCCATCCTCTGAGGGTGCTGAGTCTTCAGGGGGGCTAAGTAGTGTGCCCAGGGTGGGGCGGGGTCAGTGCCGGGCAGACACCTGGCTCCAGGGACTGGCGGGCTGGCGTGGGACCTGCTCTCACACCTACTGGCTCTGTCCTGACCTCGGTCAGACCGTGGGCTGCCGCCTTCCCCGGCTCGGGCCCCGCCCTCCCGTTGGGGAGGCTAGCCTACATGGTGGCCCCGCTCGCTGGGGCCTCTGGAAAGGTTGGGACATAGGTGTCTGTGAGGAAGCCACTCCATGGAGCAAAGGCGAGGGTGGCAGCTTCCTGCTCCTCTCCCGCTGCTGGCTCAGGGTCGGGCCTGGCTCCTGGCACAGAGACTAGGGAAAGCCGTGCCCCCAGCCACCTGGGAAGGCTTCTTTGCAGTCCTCTGCAGCTTACCCTTGACTGGCTGCCGAGGCAGGAGGGCTCAGATGCAGGGGCTGCCAGGGATAACCCGTCTCCCTGCTCCCAACCCCGCAAAATAGAGCAAAAGCTCCTAGCCTTGGAGGCCTTGCCTTGTCCTGCTCCAGCCTAGTCAACTCATATGCCTTTCTTCACTGGCAAGAGGGCTTACTGCTGTCCCCTCCCCCCAATTCCTTTGTGCCAAAGGTCTTGGCAGGTGGGAGGGGACAGAGGAGCACAGCGAGCATGGTTGGGCCCCGGCAGGTGCAGCCCCTATAAGGGACAAGCCCCCATCCCCAGTCGAAGCCCCAGGGACAAGGCAGAGCTGCCCCCACCCCCAGGCCACTGAAGTCACGGAAGCAGTTTTCTGTCTTCAAGTCTGTTTTCATCGGCTCCCTCTTCAAAAGTGGGGCTCCACCCACCCCATGACATGGGAAAGGGATGTCTGGGACAAGAGGCCTGCTTTAGGGTGTGAGGGAGGGTGACAGAATCACACAGGAAAAGGAAGTGTGGCGGGAAATAGCCCAGAAAAGGGTTTCTCCCCAGTCCCCATCCCATGTGGGCAGAGAAGGGTGGGGTTTGCTGGGGGCGTCATGGGGTAAGAGGTGTTCCCTGCGGGAGGGGGCTTCCCCCTTCTCTCCCCATCTGCCTGGATCCCATTCACCTTCACCTAACGACAGAGTGCTAGATGGGAGGCCAGGGGCAACCCGAACTGGGGACACAGGCTTGCTCCCCACGCCAGGCTCGGGCTCGTCCGCTCCCGCACAGCCCCCTGCTGCGCTCACCCTCCCCGAGAAATGGCAGGTCCCGGGCCCAGAGTCCAGCGTCACCGGCGTGGTGAGGGGCAGCCGGCCCCCTGCGCTCAGGCCACCCTCACAACCACAAAAGGTCAAGGAGTGACATTCCCCGAGCAGCTCAGGGCAGCCCCCAAGCCCTGCACCTGGGTGCCGCTCACTGTCCCCAAGCTGTGCCCGCTGCGGGGGTGGGCCCACGCCCCCAAGGGGGCTTCCCCTCCCAGCCTGGGAAAGCACAGGTGGGAAGGGGCTGGGGTGAGGGCAGGAGGGGCCTCAGGGGTTTCCAACCAGGAAACAAAACCGAAAGGACAAACCCGGCCTCAGAGGGCGCGATCACATGCAGCGGGGCCGGGCGGGCTGGCTCACGGGGCGAGGCCCTTCTCAGGTGTCGCTTCAGTTTGGGCCCAAACCTCCAGGCCTCCAAGTCCCGAGCTACAGCAGTGGCCAGGGTGGGGGGTCCGGGGCGGGCATGGGAGACGTGAACCCGAGTGTGCGCACACGTTGAAGGGGTGGTGTGGGGCGAGGGGCCCCCAGAGGAAGCCGGGGCTGGGGTAGCTGAACAGGCTCCTCCTCACTTGCCTGCCACCCACCCTGAGATCTGATGCCTGGAGGCTCCGGGCTCACCCGGTCTCTGGGGCTGACAGCCTTGGTTGACCTTTGGGTCACGGCCACACAACATGCACACAGGGACATGCTACCGCGCAGGAGGCCAAGGGCAGGAATAGCAGAGACGGACCCAGCTGAGAGGGGGAGCGTGCCCACTGCCCACCCTCACTGGAGACGAAGACTCCAGGGCTGAGCGCTGAGGGCGAGCTTGCAGTGGGCCACACGGGAGGGTGGAGAGCAGGTCACAGGAACTAAGTCAGGACCCGTCCTCTCTCCTGCTTCCCACACCCAACTGGACCCAACCTGTCCTACCAACGCCCCCCCCACCCCAGCCCTTGTCAAAACACCCAGACCAGCCCCGAGGCAACGGAGCCAGTCCCCTCTCCTGCCCTCCGCCCCCAACCCCTTCCCAAAGAGAGAGCTTTTCCTACCAAGGCAAATAAAGGCACTGCAAACCAGGGAAGTTAGAAAAGTCTCTTTTTAAGCTTTTAAATTAAAATTTCACCCTGGTGAGATGATTGATTTGGGAACTAAATCCAGAGGCAAGCTCTCTACTCTGCAATCTTCTGGGCCTGGGCACAGGAGAGGCAAGCCCCATGCAGAGCCTGGGCCTTTGACCCCAGCCACCAACTGGGGGCGGGGATGCCTCGTATTGACAAAGAGGCTCCCATGTCTTCGGCCACCAGGCACCTCCGGGAGCCCCTCCTACAGCCACTGCTGGGAACGGAGCAGTGTGGTCTTCTCTCCCATTCCAGAAGAACCCTGCAGCCTGGCTTCGAAGCACCTACCGTGGGACCGGGGCGGAGGAAGGGGTGCTGACCCCAGGGCCCCTCCCCTCTGACCCCAATACCCTAAGCCAGCCAGCCCCGTTCTCACATACATTAGTTACATTTATATATTCATATATATTATCGTTATATATTAAAAAGAGAGAAAACCTGCCCGAAGAGAAACTCCTGAAGAACCCGAGAGGCTCAGGAAGTTTACTGGACCCCCGCCCCCAAAAATTCTTTTATAAAATCTTCCAGTGCGATCTTCAGGAAACCCATGCCCGCCCCGGACCCCCCCGCCCTGGCCCTTCTGTGTCCCCAAGACCCCGGACTGCCCCCAGCTCCGGCTCAGCGCCCGGCGGCATCCAGTCTCATCTCTGGCCGTCCGCTGCGGCCATGGCTTTCTGCTGGGAGCCCCCTTGCTGTGCTCCGGGGGGCCACGCGGGCTGTGGGCGGTGGAGGTGGTGGAGGCTGTGGGCCGTTGGGGACGACGGGGGGATCCAGGTGGCCTGGTGGCTGGGCGGGGACGAGGCCCAGAAGGGGCTGAAGTTTGCAGGGGGCGAGCAGGCCACGGCCGTCATGGGGCTGTTGGCGCTCTGCAGGCCCTCGGAGGCGCGGAGCTTGGAGAACATGGCCAGGGCGTCGGGGAAGTTGGGCGGCGTGGCTGGCGTGTTGCTGGGGGTGCACATCTGCTGAGAGAAGACAGGGGTGTCGGGAGGGCTGTCCTCCTGAACCCCCGATTCCGAGCCACAACCCCTGGTCCCAGGGACTTCCAGTGGGGCTCGCCCAGGCTTCCCCAGACCACGGGCAGCGTCGACAGGACGAAAGCACCCCCCTTGCCCTGAGCTAGGAAGAATGAAAAAAATAAGGACGAACCCGACAATTTTCATCAAAACCAGAGTGTTTCACGATGCTTAGGAACGACACCCCGGAGAGCATCAGAAGTAAATGGTTCATTCTAACCAGAAGCCAGGGTGTCAGCATGAAGCGAGGACAAGGGAGCAGCCCAGGTCGCCCTGCTTGGCGCCGCACACTGGGTGAGAAACCAGCTGCTTCTTCCATAATCCACCCTCAGCCGTTCCGAGGCTGCCGGTCGGGGGGGACGGCCAGACCCAGGCTCTGTCTTTGTGGCCAACCGTGGTGAGGCCACTTTCTCAGTGTGTGGGTTCATCGGTGGGGCTCGGGGCCTTCGCCTCCATATCTTACTTCTCACAATGATGCTAAGTCATTTCCCTTCTCTCTAGATTACAGATGAGAAAACTGAGGCCCCAAGTTCAAATCACTTGACCAAAATACACTCACTGCAAGGTCCAAGCTGCTGGAATTTCTAGGCTCCGGAGTCTACAGGCCCAAGCTCTTAACTTCCACCCAGCCCCGGCTGCTCTGCACCAACAGTCAAGTGCAACTTCATGCTTGGGCTCCCCAGAGCAAACACCAGGTATTTCGGTTTCCTATGTCCCCGAGCGTCTCCCCACATGCTGCTCTTGGCCAGAGGTAGGCAGAGTGTCTCAGTCATTCAGCCCCTCTCAGCCCTCTTCCTGGGGGAAGCTACAGACATCCCATCTGCTGATTTCTGCCACTACTCTGGGAGGGGGGCTCTCCAAAGTCCCCACTACCCCCCCCACCACTTCTGAGCAGGGACCCCAGCCAGAAAGGGCAGGGGCTGGGAACAGGACTCTCTGTAGACACCAGTGACTGTAGGCCTCCTCAACCCTGCAGCACGGTGGGGTGGGGAGTGGTGGGGGGGGTGAGGTGCCATCCACAAAAACCTCACCAGAGCACCTCACTCACCAGGGGCCCGTGGAAGAGACAGCTGGGGACAGGCTTACAGCTTACACCAAGCCATTCCGACCTGGCAGGCCGCTTCTGCCTTTCCCAGGAAGCCATGGGAGCCCTTCTTTGAATTTCTCCTAATTTTAGCAACACAGGCCCCTCCCCCAGGCATGGGGGTGGGGGAGCAAAATTCTAGGGCTCTTCACCTGGCAGAAAGGGAGCTTTTTCACAGCTCTACAGTTAAACTCCAGTCAGAAATAGGGAGTGGGGGTGGGTAGGACCCCCGGCCTGTTAACTGGGCCGCCCATATCGGCAGCTAGGAAGCTCTGACCATTGTCCTCAGGGGCAGCCACAGGCCCGGCCTCACCCAGACCATTTCCCTCCTCCCTTCACTACTCCCCGTCCCTACCCCCCAGCCCAGGCTGACTTCTCGGCAGCAGGAAACAGTGAATGGGGGGTGGAGGTAGAAGCCAACTGCATCACAGCATCGTGACCAACTTCCCTAGTTCACCAAACCAGCACAGACGGTCTCCTCAAACGGCCACCCCGCTCTGGATCAGGAACAGGCCTATATGCCCGCCTGCCTGTGTGAGCTTGGGCAAATTTCTTAACCTCTCTGGACCCTGTTTTCATAAAATCAGGGGTTTGGACCAGATGCTCTAAAGGCCCCTCCAGCTCTGTGCTTCTAACAATGGGTGATTTCCAGCTCTCACACATACCCGTCCACTGCACCCTGCTAATGTCCTATGGCTTCCAGACTATGTCTTTCTCTCCTTCCCAGCCCCTCCCCACCCAGGCACCTTATCTAAGATGCCTCCAACAGTGTGAGTGTACAATAACCCATGAGACAACCGTTTGTTGATCATTCACGCCCTGGTATTGCTATTGTGCCATTATTAGTCCCGAGTGGTTTCATTTAACTTTTCCCTTTGATTTATTGTCTCTAAAAAAAACCACTGACTCCTGCGGGCAGGGTGTTTTCCACTGCGGATCAGGTACTCAGTGCTTGGCGCACTGATGGATACACTGATTATAAGGGCTGTTACAAAACTTGCCACCTGTCTTGAGGGAGAGAAGCTTCAAGATTACAGTCCCTTGGGATTTGCAGAGAAGGAGCAATCGGACCTAAAGGGACCACCCGTTCCAGCTCTTCCTGGCAAGGCTCCCTGTCACAGAAGCACAGAATGGCTGTCCTGGGAGCTCTGGACCTTTTCGAATGGCCACAGTTGGTGGAACAAACCTCAAGGCCCTTTTGAGAGGAGATGGCAGCAGGGTGCTCCCAGGCTCATCACGCACAAGGTGGGAGCCGGAGCTTTCCCACAGTCGGGCACAGGGAGTGGGTGTCCTGGCGACATTCCTCACTTAGGAAGAGCCCAGTCCCAGCGGCCCAGCCCTGCAGGAGCACAATTCGCCCATCATATCCTAACACTCTGTTTTTCTGGTTTGCATACAGTATGAGCCACCCCAAGAAACACCTGGTTGAAAGGTCAAAACAGACCCCTCTCTATTTGTCCTTTGCAATTAGATGAAAACAGGGTGCCAAGGACAAGACACAACAGAGGAACCATTTACAACTCCTCCAGGCCATGCAGCAGTTCTGAAAAACGAGCCACGGGCAAGGACACCAAGTGTCCAAAAATGCCAAAAATGCACTCCAGAAGCCACAACAGATCTCCAGGAGGAATAATGTTTTACAATCCTTAGGGCTGGAGCCCAGTCCCTCCTCCCCCAGCAGGGCTAATAGGTAACTAGGAGGGGGATGGGGGGAAGGGGTAGACAAGGCATTCGGGCCTCTGAAGTGAAAGGGATGTCCTGTGCCTCCGGAAAGCAGGATCCCCACAGCCAGGAGGGCAAAGGCTCAGGCCTGGGGGCCAGCTGGGAAAAGAGAAGCAAGCAAATCCAGACGCGAACCACTCCTGTTTCCTGTACTTATGTATCTTCGCACACTGAGATTAAATGCAAATTCTTGGCATTTTCTTGTGGAAATCTGTATGCTCAGGGTCTGTCCGTTTTCCATAAACAGGAAAGAGAGAGCATACCTCTGTGGGTCGAGCCCAGCTCCCAGCCAGGGTGGCTTTATCCCTTTCCTGTTCCCTGTAGAGCTGGCTTGTTGTGGGGGAGGGGGAGGCTGCTGCCAGGCCAACGCTAAGAGGGGACCCCCGTAAACACAGACACCCCAGCTCCCAGTCCCCTTCTTTCACTAGGGCTCCCGGCTCCCCAGACGTCCAGTTCTCACCTGAGCCCCCTCCCCACTCCCTGCTGCCCGGCGACTCCTTGACCACCACCCTCGCCTCCCTCCTACCCGTTTCCCCGGGGTGGGGGGCGGGCACGAGGCTTTTCGGTAGAGAGACGGCAGCCCGGGAAGCCGGACCGCAAAGCGGGCCGAGCGGGCCGGCCGGGGAGCCGCTCTTTCCTGGAAGACATTTTGGCTCTTTGTTTACATCGCGGCGCGGCGCTCCCCGGCAACATGGCTGTCACCGCCGGCGGCTGA